GTCTGAACACCCCTGTTTTCTCTTCAAATATGAAGTGGGTTTGGCAGTTTGCGGACACCCCGAATATGCGAGGATGATTTGGGCGCCTCCGTTGGAAAGACTTTTTTTGTCCGAGTTGTCCGCCCGAACACATAGGTCTTATTCGGAGGGTCTGGTTGGAAATGCTCGAATATAGCAACAACATATGTCCCACACAGAGGCGTGGACATGTGGATATGTGCAATGATGACATATCTTAGCAAATAACATTGTCATGTATGATCCTACATTGGAAGAGAGAGAGAGAGAGGGGGGGGGAGAGAGAGAGAACACTTCATATAGCTAAGAGATAATGTCTAGATATGACATTTGTCCTTGTTATTACATTTTCTCTCTTTCCTCTGTTTTCAGTACTAGTATAATAGGAAAATATTCATCGCAGTTTCAACTTATTAATACAACTAGGCGATGCCCCGCGCGTTGCGGCGGGATTTTGTTTGAAATAAAAACTGCGTTGAATTAATCATTTAGCTAGTGTCTTTATAGCTTCTCCTGTAGTAAGATAATCTGTTTATCAGTATTTACAGATAAATAAGTAAATAAATATCACTATCTATAATTCCAAGTTAGACCAAAACAAAATAAAATATGCATGCACAACTCACTTTTCTTTCATATAGAGCACTTGGTATGAGGCTATGAGCTGCAGTATTTTTCCCTTGAGTAAAATATTTATAGGCAGGAGTTACTGCATGCATGCGGCAGTTACTACATGTGGTAGCTGCAGTGGCTTGTAGTGTGTTGATCGGACGGATATTGTTGATTGATCTAGTATATCTAAGGGCTAAATTAATTTGGGTGATGTGGCTCAAGGAGAAGCTAGAGAATTCCTAGTAGTGGGGGCTAGCTATTTAGATATAGTAGATTTGTATTCTTCTAGTTATAAAATTAGTTTTCTCTCTCTCTTCCACCCCTCCTAAAGGTGATAGGGAAGAGAACGTTCGTTCCCCACCCGCCCACCACTTGTGCTGATCCCGCGATCCCCCCTCCCCCCAACCTACCTCCTTGGCGGTGTAAGGTGTGGGTAACGTTGGTGGCAGGGCCGGGCCTACAGTGGTGCAGAAAGTGCAGCCCGCACAGGGCCCAAAATTCTGGGGGGCCCCAAATTTTTTTTTACATAGGCTTGGTATTAAAAAAATGCACTACGGGGCTGCTGGGCTCTGGGCTCTACCGCTATCGGCTGGAGTCGAACTGTCGAAGCGACGAGGCCACGAGGGGACCCATCGAGCGACAGCCACCAGTGCTGAAACAGAATCCTCAAAAAAAGAAAAACTACCGCCGAAACCGGATCGACCAGATCTGTGATCTCCTCGACTCGAGTCTCCAGCGCTGAGACGGCAGCCGCGACGAGCGTTGAAACTTCTCCTGATCTCCTCGACGTCCTTGACTTTTCCTCGACTGCTTGTACTCGATCAAGCCTGTACCCGATGTCTCGATCGCTACACCCTAAAGGGATCGGGAATTCGGGATCGTTAGAACTACTCTCGATCTTGGGGCGACGTTCGTGGGCTCGTGGCTACAGGAAGGAAAGGAACATCTCAGGGCGCCCGGCCGCTGCCGTCGTTGTCTTCCTCGCCTCCTCTGTCCTCTCTCAATTTTGGATTGATCGGTGACCGACTCTAGCCTCCTGCCAGGTGTTTACTGCTTAGCGAGTCCTTTTCGATTAACTTCGGTTCCTACTCCTAATTCCTAATTTTCTAATTAACAATTGGCAGGGATCTCTACTTCGTTAGAGATTGATTCTTACTTCTTACCATCCCAGTTAAAGATCACAGGACCAAAAATTAGGTGAGTTAGACGGTTCATCTAATTGGCAAACATTGATGCATGATCTCCAACTCGAATTGATATATGCTATTGTAAGACATTATATTATATACATTACAGTTTTTTTCTACGAGATATATATAATATAAATGCTCGTTAGTTCTTTTTTCTGAGATAGGGCCCCAACTTTTAGTTTCGCACAGGGTCCTGAATTTTGCCAGCCCGGCCCTGGTCGGTGCTTTGATGTTGGTGTGTGGATAGGCTAGGGTTAGGATTTCATGTTGGTGCGTCCTTGGTGGTGGCGGCAACATTAGTACGACGAACAAGGTCCACTTAGCTCTTTCCATTTTGACGATATCATTTAGAAGGAGGTTAGGGCTTCGCTTTGCAGGTGGATCTCTGATCTCGTCTCCTTCGCGTAGACGTTGTCTCTGGTGCCAACATGAAGCATGTGAGAAATAATAGAGGTTTGGCTTTTGGATCCATGGCTCTTCTGCCAGCGACGATTTCTTATCTAGGTGTTGGTCCGGTAGGACTGTGGCTTTGATGACTTATCATCCACGATCAACAACGAAAACCCGACTTTGGCAATAAAGAGGTTGGCGGCGACACACCATCTACCTGTTCGGGAGAAAGAAGATGGTCGGCCCTAAGGGTTTTGATGTAATATTTTTATTTCATATTGTGTTTGTACTGTTGGTTTCGTTAATAGATTTAGGTTTTCATAAAAAGTTTTTTTTTATAGTTTTTTCAGTTTTCAGTTTTTTGTGTGGGTGTGTGTTTAGGGTGAGTGTCTGTT